GGTCCTCTGGCTCCAGTCCTCCCGGGTCTTCTGGTCCCGGTGCTCTGCTCCCGGGTCCTCTGGCTCCAGTCCTCCCGGGTCTTCTGGTCCCGGGTGTTGTGGCCCCGGGGCTCTGGCTCGGCGCGGCTTTAAGCCGCGGCTCCTCCCTCCCTTCCCGCCCTCTGATTCCGGTCGGGCCGCTGCCGCCTCCCGGGCGCAGGGCTGGGGGTGGCCGGGCGGGTTTGGCGGAGTCTCAGTGCACCTGAAAGTTAGCAGAACAACAACGCAGGTGTTAACTGTTGAATAGACTGAGAACGGACCGTATTGTTGGATGTTAAAGGTGAAACATTCAAATAAGTCGGATTAACATGACGGGGGGAAAAAAACAAAATCATGCAAATTTCTCCAAAGAGAATAAACCGTGTTTTTGTAGCTGATTTCTCTGAACTGTTGCTTAGAAATTGTATATACAGTATTCACACCCAAAACTTATCTGCTTTGAAGTAAGGATAATAATTACGATGGAAAAAAAAAGATTTTTTGGCACAATTTCCAGTCCATAAGAGCTTAGTTCAAACAAAAATGTTACTAGATCTAAGTTCAAAACAATAATAAAGCATTTTTCCTACGGTTGCATTTATATGATTTGGGTGTTTTTTTTGTACTTTAACTCACTCTGACAGATTCCAGAGATAGAATCCATGCTTTTTTTCCTTTTATTTTGTTTGGTCAATATAACACATTATATACATTACGGTAATTATGAACGGAAGTTCTAAAACTTTAACTGTGATGGAAGGTGAAGATGAAAAAGATCGAGCGAAAAAGGGAAGTTTTATTTTTTTTCTTGTTTTTTTTCTTTTAAATAGCGTTAAATAGTTGTGTATGTGTGTGTTGTTGTTGTTTATTTGTATTTTACATACATTACCTAAACACAATAAAACATCGATAGGGCTCCGTGGCGGACCCTTCTTCCAAGCGGAAGTTTGCTAATAATGCGTTGTTTCCTGAACCGTAGCTGTTTGCAACATTTGTAACAAGTTCAATGGTCATTTTCAGGCGTCTGTGTGTAAAAGCTGACCCGTGACAAGGTGTTCTTTGCACTGAAATGGAGAAAAGTGTCTTGCAGTCTTTATCAGCTGTGTGCCGGAAGTGCCAACCCGGTGCTGGAGATGCATAAAAGTCACCAAAACATCTAAATAATTGTTGTTGTGACATATAAGTGTTGTAGCTCAGACAAAATGCTGCCCAGATGTGTGTGTTACAGCTGAGGCAAGGCTCAAGTTATGTAAAAACTAAAGTTCTTCCACCATATGGTCACGATAGACATGTGTCTGATTTATAAGAATATACAAAAATGACACACTATGTACACAAACAGTGTAGACCATATCAGCATAACAACATGTAGTGGAATAAGTCTTTGTTTAGATCACTGACCGACAGGTGAACAGTTTGAAAATATCTGCTAAAATGATTTTGTACTTTAAATTATACAATATTGTGACAAATTATCTTGTTTTTCACTACAGGATCTTGGCTCAGCTTGCTAAATAAATCTAATCAGATTAAATGTGTACTTCAATAGTTATCTTTAATAAGTCCTCTTCAACAACTAATGCCATCTCACCATATTGGTAGTTCTTAATTGTTTATAATATCCAATGTCTGACACAAAGTTTTGGGAACTGAGAACACACCCACCATTTAATGTCTGTTAAATTATTGTATTTTTATGGTTCGTAGGTGTAGATGAAGGGGGGTGCTCACATTAATGTTGATTTCGGATTACCTTTAAAAAAGTACAATATAGAACAATGTATGTATACGTGTTGTGATATGGGAAAAACTCCAAATTCAATCTGAGACAAAAAAGTATTTTGTTTGTATTTAATTTGAAAGAAATGTGTGAGGACCATTCTTGAGTCCCATCAGAATTAGTAACTGCAGCACCTGATTGTTGTGGAGCCAACAGGCTCCAGGATTTCTGGTCCTGGGGGGGCACGATGAAACTTACATTTTTTCCAGAGAAAAGCAGCAGGGGCTGAATCTGGTCCCGCTGGGACTCGCCCTGCTGGTTAAACTAGAGATTCCCGTAACAACATCATGCTTTGAACTGCCGTCATGCAATAAAATACCAGTTTTTGTCTTTTCAAATCTGCCTTCTGGGTCATACCTCCCTGTCCAACTTGTCTATTCCTGTTAGGGCTTGAGACCTCCCCTCTGATTTCATGACATTTCCCATGAAACTGCCTCAGCCTCAAAAAGAACAGGAAGTGGACCAGCAAAGTGATATCTAATACTGACCACAAGTAACCCTGGACCTCAAACGTGTGATTACAGGATTACAGGTCAAAACACAGTAAAAAGTACCCCTGTGGACACTCAGGTGTGAGACAAATGCACAGGGATCAGGAAATAATGCTGCACAAACTATAGAAAATGTTTACATCGCACTGGTTTTTAATTGAAATGAAAAGTAAAAACACAGATCAGGCTTAAACACTTTCCTTACTGTGTACCTATTTGCTCTCACTTCATTCAAAGAAGTGCATTAAAACACATGCTGCAATCAATTTTAGAGGAAAAAATTAAATTATTATTATTATTTCTTTATGATTCCAAGTTCAGATGACAGTACAGTAACAGTGTACACTTGTACCTTCAAATAAATGTCAATCCTTATTTAGCAAACACAGTCAGGTCCAAAACTATTGAGACACAATTCTAAACTTTTTGACCAAGTATTAAAAATGGAAAGTTTGATTCATTGTTGTTCATTTGTCCCATTACTTTTGGTTCATTAAAACGTGGGAGGCACACCTATACGAACTGTTGTAATTCCTACACCTCTGACCCAATTTCGATGTAAATACTTAAATTAAAGCTGTAATTCTGCAGGTAAAGCACATCTTGTTTATTTTATTTCTAATCCATCATGGTGGTGCATGGAGCCAAAAAGATGAGCATTGTGCCGATGTCCCAATATATACGGACCTGACTGTAGAATTAGTTCATTTCCCTCAAAAAGAAAAAGTGGAACTTCTGGGGAGACACATTTTGTCCCATCCCTGTGTATAAAGATTTTAAAATAGCTTTAACTGACTCAAGAAAAGTGACTTTTGGCTTCTCACAGTGAATGAACTTTGAAGTGAGTTCATTAAGCTCACAACTGACTCAAATATGTTAAAATGTTGCTGTTGTCACCGGGCGTCATTAAAGCTGTTTGACAATAACAACTATTATTATCGTGTTAGACAAAAAAGTATTCGCTGGGTTCTGTTCGATGGTACACTCACTGAGACACAAAGAGGAACAACATTTGTCTTTTTGTCTTCCACCCATGAATTCCATGTTTGTGTTTCGCGATGGTTATGAGGACAGTACAGGAAACACCAGCAAGATAACTCGGGAGTTCTACTTCCTGCCACTTTTCCAGAAATAACTTTTGCAGTTTGAAGTCGTATTACATGCCTGGAGCCACAAAAGTGCTGTAAAAACCAATGAATTCAAAATTAGCTGAGAAAAAATACTCCTTAAATTTAATGAATATGTGTATATTTTGCTGATGAAGATTGGAAGAAATGTACTTCCCCTACATAAAATCATTTTAAAAATGCAAATAAAATAAAAAATAATATATTACAAAGGGCCAGACATATCCACACATAGAAATACATGTATACATATTTTACTAGAGCAACAACCAAAGTAACCACATAGCAGATTTTATTCACTAACTTTATTTATTTTTTTACTGAATGTTTTTTATTATTATTTAAGAATGTTTTTGCATGTCTTTATTATATGATTTCATCATCGATTAGTTCCCGCCACAGCATGATCATTTTCATTTGAAACATCCAGTGACAGGAAGGTACAAAAATGGAAAAAGGATTAAAAAAAATGTCACAGGGATAACATTTTTAAAAAAAGCTTTCCAAAGTGGATGAGAGGCAGCAGGTGAGTTCTGTCTATGTAGGCTTGTTAATATTCAGGTAAGTCAAGTCAAGTCAATTAGGCTTTATTGTCAATTTCTTTACATGTGCTGGTCATACAAAGAATTGAAATTGCGTTTCAAAAGCTAAATCTACTGTAAAACGACAGGTTACTGTTGTCTTTTAACCAGGTACTCATCAGTGTTTACAACAGAACAGAAACACAAAGGAACCAGTTTGTGGTTATGCAGTTATTCAATAATAAAACAGATAAAATAGGAACTTGGGAATGATACATAGAGTTCTCAGTGAGCAGTGATCCTACAGAGCTGCTGGATGGGTCGGATGAGTTGGAGCAGATGGGGGGGGGGGGGGGGCTGTAATGGGCCTGCATAAACCCCTCAGAAAGCAGGAAGTTGTGCGTCTGTCCTTAACAACCTCTCTCTAGACCCGGTCCTTGCTCAACAGCCATTAGCAGACACACCCACCCTCCACCACTCCTCCAGTCCTACCGTAGGCTTTCCCACTTCCACTCCTCCGTTCGTGTTGACTGGCCAGAGTCCACGAATACACTATTTTGCACTCCGACACCAACTCGACGCCACTATACTTAAGGTAGGTCATCATTTCAGACCTTTTTACTGTTATTAGGACTACAGCTTGCTCGGTTATGCATGGTGCTTTTCTGCTTTTTTATGTAGCTCATACAGCGATTTCAAAGTGATACCAATACATTCTGACCCCATTCTGATTTAGATATACATACATATATATATATATATATTTATAATATAAATATTTGGAAGACAACAAATGTTTGGAATGTACATTTATGTGGGGTAAAATAAAGTGGGGTAAAAGGTTTTACCTTGTCAGGCTTAAAGCTTCAGACTACTATAAAACAATGTGTTTGATATATATACAGGCATATACATATGCCTATATCTAGGTACATATACAGTATCTATAAAAATAGATATATGTCAATATTCACATGTGTGTATACTTTTGTGTGTGTGTGTGTTTTCTCAGAACAAGCCACCTCCTGTCCCACCCTCGTTTAATCCCGGAGCCTGCAGCAACACATCTGTAAACCGCCACAGTCCCACATTCCAGCAGCTCCCGGCCCGGACATGTCGCTGCACAGCTTCGGCCTGGAGCCTCTCTCCTGCCACGCCTGGAACAAGGACCGGACCCGTGTGTAAAACACACACACACGTTTGCTCGCACGCTATCCCAGTTGTGTTTCCACTGTAGGAAAGTCTCAGCAGCCATCTTATGCGTTGTCATCCTCCCCCTAAGTGCATTAACGTTAGGGAATCTCATTATCAGTACAGGAAATGGAATCAAAGGGCTGTAGTGCATACTTATGACAACGCACGGATAGGAGAGCGTCTGCTTTTGCATAGATCACAACATTTTAAGTCAAGACTTGTTGAAATTGTCTTCAAATAGCAACCAGTCTTTCTTGTTTTCTGCATAGCAGGTTTAAGACTCAAATATTTGATTTAGTTTGATCTAATAACAGAGGAGGTGTCAAATTAAATCACGTTTATTCATATGTATCATGGTCTAAAATATTTTCTAATTTTACTTACATAATTGACTAATGTTTTTTTATTAACTTTGGTCCTGATTCTATTGCTTTTAATATTTTGATATTATATTAAATATGTGTTTTTTTGGGTTAGAGTTAATATCAATATTTAATTTATTTAATATTCTGTTCGCCTACAGAGTAGGACTTTAGCTAATTCTCCATTTTATTGACAATTTCTGGAAGGGCCACATTATAGTTTTGCCCTTAGTCAAATAGACATTTTTTTTATCAGAGTTAACTAATCATACCCAGGAAAACCCTACAAAATCCCAGTTGAAATAGATATTTTATGATTCCAGAATACTAAACATTTACAGTTGAAAGAAAAGGTTTGCAGACTTTTTCCTCCCTCTTGCCCGTTGTCTGCTTATTTTTAAGCCGAAATAGAGAGTTCACACCTCTACACCAACATAATATCAGTTTTAGTTAAAATAAAGTCAAAGTTCCTACAGGTTTATTTTCTTCCAAGCAATTCACTATACAAGTTAACATTAGCATGACAATTTCCCACCACTTAATATTAATCACTATAACATTTACTTTTGACAAAATGACTCTGATAAAAATATGTTGTAAAACTGTTTTTCCCTTCAGAGTTGGCTGTGAGCCCTAACAACAATGTGGTGAACGTCTATGAAAAAAACGGCAAAGAATGGGTGAAGATCCACGAGCTAAGCGAGCATAGCGGGCGTATCACAGGTACCGTCACAAGTTACAAAGATCCGTTTGACACGTTCAACAATATTTGCCTGAACAACATTAAAAGAGAAAATTACAGCTGTACATACTGGGATACTGATCTCAATGAGGCCCAAAAGCCCCAAGAAGACTTTTTATGACCCTTAAAGCAAGGAATTGCTTCTCATTTATCATTTTAGGCTCATTTTCTGATGAGGTCTCACAGTAGGAGACTCGCTTGTCATTTTCTTAAATGTGGTCGAATGTTATCTTCTTGTATGGACACGTTTTCTATCGGTACTTTAGCTTCCTAGCAACATACCAATACAAAAAAATGCATGGTATGTTAATTATTGAGTCAAGATTGGCCATGTGAACATGCTTTTATGAGTTGATGACCTGTCAGGGTGTATTGCACCTATCGCCCAATGGCAGGTGGTGTACGCTTTACCCCAAACATAGTTTTGATCTTAGTCAAACAGAGATTTTGTGAAAGGACCAGAGGTGACTGATTATTTCTAGGAAACCCTCCAACATCCCAGCTGAAATTGATATTTTCCACACTATAAGTAGCAACTTTGTCATGTAAAATAGTTTTATTACAGTAAATTAATTGAGAATCTACCAGTAAATTCAAAACACTGGAGGAACGGTCTATGATATTGTCTTATATGCCACAGGTATTGACTGGGCCCCAGAGTCCAACCGTATTGTAACATGCGCGGCCGATCGCAATGCCTACGTGTGGACTTTAAAGGACGGCGTGTGGAAGCCCACCCTGGTCCTGGTGCGCATCAACCGCGCCGCCACCTGTGTGAAGTGGTCCCCCCTGGAGAACAAGTTTGCTTTGGGCAGCGGAGCTCGGCTCATCTCGGTGTGCTACTTCGAGGAGGAAAACAACTGGTGAACAAACTTCTGATCAAACTTGGCCTATTTAGCCTCCTGAGACCCCAGATTTTAATTGGTGTGCATTTTTGCTTTTTTAAAGATATATGGGATTAGTACAACCTACTAAGTTTAATAACTAAAATTTGTCATGGTACAGGTAGTTGTGCTTCATATAGGCTCAGTGGGTTTATCTTTATATTTAAAATGCTAGTTTATGTATCTAATTAAATGTTATTGGAATTTTGTTCTGACAGTCCAAATTACTTATTAACAATTTTTTAATTACGCAATAAGAACATTATTGGTTGAAAATGTATAGCACCCATTTTACTTTAGAGTGTCTGATAGCGTCTGCTATGAGGCCAAGAGGTCAAAGTCGAAAGAAAAAAGAAGTATCATGGTAAAGAGAGTCAAAAATGCTATGTCCTCTTATGAGGACGCAGGGTCTCAGGAGGTTAGGTTTAGCACATAGAAATTAGTTTATTTTGCAGTAATACTGAATTCTAAAATATGTCTTACAGTCAAAGAGTTACAAAAAACAAACCAATTTTCTATCAGTATTAACAAGAAATCATATGTTTTTTTAATGTGTTAATTCTATTCCATTCTTAGGTGGCTGAGTAAGCATATAAAGAAGCCAGTTAAGTCCACAGTCTTGAGTCTGGATTGGCATCCCAACAACATCCTGCTGGCTGCTGGGTCTGCAGACTTTCACTGCAGGTAACACCACCACCGAACATTTTTAGCATACACACAGAGAGACACACAATGGAGTTCCATTGAACTACATTTCTTAGGAAGTGAATCTTAAAGCGTGTATCTGCGAAGTATCTATTTTACAGTCATCCAACCCAACATGCGTACTAAAAATGGAAAAAAAACTCCATTAGTCATATCTAACTCTGTCCTGATGGACTGAGTGAAAAGAAATGTGCAAATGCTGAAATAGGAGATAACAATTCTGTAGAAAAAAATTCACTGGCACTTCTTAGAACACTCGAGGTTGGAACAGTGTATTAAGATCAGACTAAGTTTTTTTTTTTTTTGTAAATTACAAGAAAGAAAAGCAGTGATTTTATAAGAACTTTTACAAAAGCAGTCTTCAGCCCAGCGTTAAAATGAGAAATGCTGTTCATCCTAAAGGTCTTAGTCTCACAAATAAGGTTGTAGTGACTTCGATGTAAACTATAGCTGCTGTTGGCTGAGTAGGTTTTGAACTTATCTCCAATAAGCTGTGCTGCTTTCTATTTGATTTGTGTGTATTTATTTTAAAACGTAAGATGATAAACTTCGGTTCGATTAAACGGATACATCACAAAGACGGGTATTAAAAGTCAGTCAACAGAAAAGTTTGCAAAAACCTTTCTCCCAACTCCCTGTTGGGTGTGCCCTCCCAGTTAAATAACATTAGACCACACCCTTAAGCATTCACCTGGGTGTAGCTAAAATATGAACACCAGTGCCACCATAAGACATAAACATAACACAAACATTCATTTTGGCTCTTACAAAGGTAATACGTCATCTTACAGCATAGAAATCTGTAAACACAGGTACTATGCTGAGTATTAGTGCAAAACATGCTGAAAACAAAAAAAAACTTAAACAAATCAATAAAAAACAAAACAAACGAAAAGCCTAAAACAACAACGACCGAATCCTGTCAAAGCAATAACAAAAGCTACAGTAATGTCGTCAAAGCAACAAAAGATGTAAAAGGCTCCAAGACTGAATGTCAAGTTCTTTTATAATTGATTTTTAATTTGATTAATATCAAATCTGAGCTCTGATATAATCATAAATCAACTTAAATCAAATCAATTTCAAAATAATCTTAAGAAAAGTTGTTCTGGGATGATGATTGCTGATTTATTCACACACAAACATGACATTTTAGCTATTTACTAATTAGTGTTTGTATGAATTGAACCAATTAGGAATTTAAAGAACTGGAACAGATGGATTATTGTGCATTATGGTTTGGATTCTAATTGCCTAAAACAGGAATGTACTTTTAATGTGCTATTACATTTATTGTGATTTGGTGCTTGAAGAATTAAATTGAATTGAACTGAGATGTGCCAATGTGCCAGCATAAATTGTATAATTCATGTTGACCCCTTAAAACGTTTGGCCACACTTCAGCAGTACTTGCAAAACTGGGTTTTTCTCCAGAAAAAGATTCGGAGATTAGACATCGACAAACTGAAACATGCATTCTTTTGTAGGATTTTCTCAGCCTACATCAAGGACATCGAGGACAGGCCTGGCCCTACAGCCTGGGGGGCCAAGATGCCCTTTGGGGAGGTGATGCTGGAGCATAAGGACTGCGGGGGCTGGGTGCACGACGTGTCCTTCTCCCCCAGTGGAGAGCAGCTGGGCTGGGTGGCCCACAACAGCAGCGTGACCGTGGCTGATGCTGCCCAGGGGAAGCAGTGAGCACTTATTCCACACACCACTCATTCCCACAGCGCGTTGTGCACGCCACGTGTGCTAACACAGGGTTTCTCCACACCGTTAGGGGGGTCATAAACATTTTTGGGGGCACTGGACGTGTGGGGGCTGGTATGGGGGCGCCACAATTTGGCTTGTATGAAGTTCATTTGAACTCTAGGTTTTAAATGTTTGTGGTTTCCCAAGTAAAAAATAAATATGATAACGTAACCACGTTTAATCACGCAACATTAAAATGAAACATGGCTGATTAATTATTCCTCTCAGCCTCTCAATTGCTTTTCAAAAGCATTGGTTCATGGGTTCATGGGCGATCACCTGGCATGTGCATGTTAGCATCTCTTAATATATCAGTAAAACTCATTTTAAACTAATTCTTCAGTAATGGTACTTGTGGCCTTTCTGTCAGTAGATACAAACATTTGACTTAAACACTACCTCACAGCTCTTGGCAGAAAAATCTTTGTAGTAACTCAATAGCTCAGGGTCAAATTACAACTAAAATAATGTTTCCATGTAGTTTACTTGTTTCTCCTGTTGAGTAATGTACAAACATGACCTATTATATGTCTCAAAACCTACATTTTGGAGGCCATGCTTAAAATGAGAAACGAGGATCATGGCATGGTCAGTGGGGTATTTGTTCCAAAAAGGTTGAGAACAACAATGCTAACATATATACAGTATTTTTCATCCTTTGTGGTACACATGCACACCTCTGTCTGCCCAGGGTTACGCAGCTGACCACTGACCGTCTGCCCCTGCTGAGTGTCATCTTCGTCAGTAGCACAGAGATTGTTGCCGCGGTAATCGAAACCCTATCAGTGTTTGAATGTTAATGGATCAACATTTGTATTTTCCTATATGATTTGTTAAAACAATCAGTCTATAACTGTCTGCAAGCTTTTTACAAGTAGGAAGCTTAGATGCCATGACATGCAGTGTCAAAAAGAAGGACAAATGGTTTTCAAAAGTGCATGCTAAGTTAGAAAAAACTTAAAAAAAACTTAATAACAATAAGTAAATATTAATCCAGACACATTTTCCAAGTACAGTTGCCTTCTTCTAGATTTTATGTGGATACATGTTGGTTTGGTTGTGCTTGGTTTGATCTATCTTTATCTACAAGCTAATTTGCTAACATGCTAATGCTAATTTGCCTTAGTAACATGATAGTAGCCTATAACACGAGTAGTTACTTAATAGACGTTCATTGTTCTTTTACCATAATTCACTTCCATTAAAGTCAAGCTGTTTAGCTAACAGCTTTGACATCTTATTTAATTAGTTGGTTTTGCTTTTTAACCATTTTAATCGTGTGTGTGTGTCAGGGTCACGACTGCTGTCCATACCAGTTCACCTACAAGGGTCCTGGTGCTCTGGAGTTTGTGAAGAAGCTGGACATCCCCAAGCAGACCTCAAAGGGCAGCATGTCCGCCATGCAACACTTCCGCAACCTGGACAAAAGAGCAACCGAGGAAGACAGCAATGAGCTGGGCACCCTTCACCAGAACAGCATCACGTAAGAGAGGCTTCTTCCCTCTGTGTCCTAATACTGCAACCATTTGTTCGACAGGAGCATGTTTCAAATATAGTTCATCTTTTAATCTTATTGTCATCCTAAGAATTTGTTGCCAAGATGGTAATGAGTTGACTGAAAGGGGACGCATTTTAATACCAGCGTGAATCAAATCCTTCCTCTAAAGTACTAAAAATATACATAAACCACCACAGTCACATGCATATACAGTCAGAGCAAGCGTTTTAAAATTCACAAGAATGACATCTCGCATATAAAACACTGCAAATTCTCCCCCTCATGCAAACAAGAGTTTATTCTAGTCTGACTGAGAGGATACTCTAGTGATACTTATGGTCATTCAAGTGTAAATTAAACTTTATATTAGTACGAATGAGAGGCCACCCTAGTATGAATAAGGGGTTAAACTAGTATGACTGAAAGGATGCACTGGTATAAGTAAAAGGTTATAATTCAGACATGAGAGGTTGTACTCTTACGACTGACAGGTTATGCTATAGTGAATGAGACTATCGCTCTTGTATATGCAAGAATTGCTCTATGTAAAGTGGTATTTAGAGGTGGATGACCTCATAACTTTCCTTTATACATGTACATTCTTCCACAGGGCTTGTGTATACTTATCTCACATTTCAAGTATGTTGACAATTTTTACCGTATTTTCCTGACTGTAAGTCGCCCAGGAGTCAAGCCGCACCAGCTTTATATCCATTATAAGGAGAAAATAAACCATAAATAAGTCACACTGAACTATAATTCACATGGACTTTTATATAGGTATGTTAACTTAACATGAAAAGTTCAAATGACAATATATTTATCGTACTACAGTGCCCATGATGCATTGTATTTCCGCTTCCGGTGGCCACTTTAAAACATAGAGGGAGTCTGTCATGCAAAATTGTTTTATTACAATAAATTGATTGAGAATCTACCAGTATATTTTAAATGTATAAATCGCTCTGGAGTATAAGTTGCACCCTATACATACATGTAAATAAAAAGTGTGACTTATGGCCCTAAAAATACAGTACCTTTGTATAGTCCATACACAAATGCTAAGTAGTTACATCAAACCACAGGTCACAGCCAACTGGCATTTTTAAAGTAAAGTAAAGTTGTATTTGGAGGAAAAAGACTATTCCATCTCAGCTTTTGCTTCTTCAAGCAGGTCTAAATGTTTCATTGTGTTGTGCTCTGCAGCCAGCTATGCATTGTGTCTGGAGAGAGGGCCAAAGTGGAGAAGTACAGCAGCGTGGGTCTGGATGGAGCCATGGTGATCTGGACTTTCAAGGTAGTTGATTCAGACTACTTCCAGTACAACGGTGTAGATGTTTAGAAAAACCTCAGTTGAGCCATTGTAAAAATCCGTGTTGTGGTAATGCTGCTGCTGTTGTAACAATTTTTTAATGATTCAGAATAGAATTAATGTTTTTGAAAAATGACCCAAATATCTCATCCCAGCTTCTTAAAACTTTAGTTTAGATGATGTAAGCTGTACTTACTTTGAGATATTTCCTTCAATGATATTATCAAATGAGTTTAAATAATTATTTGATTAGTGTTTTTGTGATTGGTGATTTTTTTTTGTCTTGGGTTGCTACTTTTTCATCTTATAGTGATTCCCAGCGGCTAACATAATCATGTGTATCAGCACAGTCTAGTAGGATCAATTGTTTTAACATGTTTCATCTCTTCTTTTGCAGGATTGAGTCTGAAGAAGATGGCTGTGGCCACATGAGGGAACACACTCTAATGCCTGACACTTTTGTTTGTGTACGCCTTGTTGAACAGCTGGAAAATATCAGAAACCTTCAAACTTTTTTAAGTCAAGAGTAAAACTGTATTTCTTAATAAAAACAAATAAATACAAAATGCCATTTTGTAATCATGTTTTCTTTCCATTCTCGGGTTGCAGATTACATTATTATTTAAAATGCATTATTATGTGTATCCAGTTACATACTGTATGTTTAATGTATTTTATAAAGTAAATGAACGAGTAAGCAAGTGAGGGAGGTGTCTGATTATCCCAGGTTTCTGTAGGACAGTTAGCCAAAACATCACAAGAGCCACAAGAAATTGATTAGCCCCTTCATTTTGGGGGAAATAAATTATGTTGGAGTTTTCCTCCGACACCTTTGACGTTTGGTTTGTGGTTCACACTCACACATCCACATCTCGCCACCGGGGATAGCTTTTCTGAGCTGGTCAGGTTCCTTTGAAGACGCTGGATGATGTGTTGACACATCCTTCCGGTCCTCATTCACCAGCTCAAATCCTCAGTGATAGTCCTGCAGTCGAGTTCCGACTTTGCCATAACATTTTTAATGTATGCATCTCTATATCTGTCTCTGTCTCCCTCTAGGGATTTGAATCTCTGGAAGTCTCAGGGAGGTGATAATATTTAGATGTCTCATGGCTCAGAACATACAGATAGTATTGCATTCTTCAAAATATCAGCAATTATTAAATTTTAGAATCAGATCTTGAAGGCCATTACTTAATTATCACAATTCATTTCCCCCCTTTTAAAAAGCATTATTCTTAACATATGGCTACAATGACAAAAATAAAAATGTTAGATTTTTTTTGTTGTTGCCATATTGAAGATTGTTTAATGCACTGGTCAAATGCATATCTGGATGGTAATATATTAATAGAAGGGGGAGTTAAAGGCATGACATCATGAACCTTATATTTGTGATTTCCAAACAAACTCTTTCCACTTGTGAGACAGTTATCCTTGCCATGGACAAAAAATAACGTTGGCACTTTCTTTATCATCAAGAACTATTCACACAAATGCAAGCTAGAAAATAACAGACCTTTATTCTTTTCATGAAAGAGCTGAATTCGTACTATCATCTCATTGCTTTATCCAATAACCCAAGAGCTTTAGAAACTATGAATTTAGTACACAAATGTGTTGTTTTTTTTGTCACTATATATAACATTCAAATAAAAAAAAAATTGTTTTCTGTCTTGGTTTGTATTATGTCAATAAAGATCTTTTCAATCATAAAAAACAGAAGAAACCCCTCAGCCAATAGGAACAGACCAGTTTTATTTTCAGCCAATCGGAAGGGCAGGTGTGACGTACCCTTGTCAGCTGTTCTTGTTTTGCTTCTCTTTTGCTCATCTTTTCCTCCGGGCTCTGGAAAACCAAAGCCCGAAACCACCGTACGGTTCTGGCGGAATTCGTGAGTGTTTTTAGCCGTGAAACCCGCCGCTTCCGCTCCGAAATACCACCTCCTCCACATTTATGCCCAAACCGTCCTCCGCCGACATCGAGCGACGAGGTGCGGCCGGTCCCAGGCCTCCGGTCCAGTTTGGAGGGAGGGAAGGAGGTCGCCGGGAGTCGGAATGGAGGCCGCGGAGGGTCCGGGCGCCGGGCGCGGGGAGCACGAGCCGGGCTCGCGCTTCGGCTGCGCGTCCTTCAACCAGGACTCCACGTAAGCTCGCGCGGGGCCGTTAGCCCGGGAAAAACTCTCCAGAGCAACAAGCAGTAACAGTCCGTAGCAACAGATACATAAATAAATATATAAATAAATGGATAGATAGATAGATAGATAGATAGATAGATAGATAGATAGATAGATAGATAGATAGATAGATAGATAGATA